CTCACCAGATACGGAATGGATGTCCAGTGAGATCCCCGGGTCCCTGTGACGCATCCCGCGTGCTGCCAGGTAGTTAGGCGTGCAGTGCAGTGCAGTGCAGTGTGCACCTCCGTCCTCAGCCCGCTGCCCTGCTGGACCTTCGGAGCCTGTTCCCCGGAGCCCTTGCCCGTGGGTGCCATCCAATAACCGCGCTTGCCTGTTCCATGGCGTCGGCCGTGCACAGACCAGCCAGCAGCTCCGTCGTCAGTTATTTCTGAAAGTGAAGCAAGCTTAGTTGCATCACCTTACCTCACACAAACCCCTACCTCTCGCCCTGCCCTTTTTGGTGATACCGCGCCAAGAGACCTGGTTCAGTCTTCCCTCTCGAAGACGTAGGGTAGGGTTGAAAGGGTCCAATTGACCAAGGGGTCTATCCCCCAATACCATTACCAATACCACACATCACACACATGCTGCTCCGCCGGTGACACCTACCCGCGACCTGGCCGCCAGCCGACGAGGCCATCGCCATAGCCCTTCCTCAACATGAATAACGTCGACGCCTCCGACCACTACGAGGTCTCCTCCCACGAGACGACCCCCTCGCTCCTCTCCATCGTCATCGACACGAACCCCCGCGCCTGGGCCGCTCTCAACGATGTCCTCCCCCTCTCCAAAGCCATCGCAAGCATCCTCGTTTTCGTCAACGCCCACCTCGCCTTCAGCAACGCCAACCAGGTCGCCATAATCGCATCCCACAGCAACCGCGCAGTATGGCTCTACCCCACAAAGTCCGAGCCCAAGGCGGCCTCGACGAACGGCGCGTCTGAGGACGTCGACATGGCAGACGCCTTTGCGCCGACCCCGAACAAGTCCAACGCCAACAAGTACCCCCAGTTCGCGCAGATCGAGAAGGCGGTCCTCGGAGCGATACGCGAAGTCATCAATCAGACCACCGAAGCCGACCTCTCCTGTACAACAACCCAGCTGTCAGGCGCGCTCACGCTGGCTCTGTCATACATCAACAAGGCCTCCATGGCGCTCAACGAGACAAACAAGACACCGGAAGCCACCCGCGCGACCTCCTCCGCCCTCACGCGCCTTCATGCACGCATCTTCATCCTCTCTGTCTCCGACTCCGAGCCGGTGCAGTACATACCCACGATGAACGCTGTCTTCGCGGCGGCGCACTCCCAGATTCCCATTGACACCCTCGCCCTCTCTGGAGACGCAACATTCCTCCAGCAAGCGAGCTACATCACCGACGGAACTTTCATGCAGGCAGCCAGTCCTAGGGGTCTACTGAGCTACCTCATGTTCGCGTACTCTGCCGACGCCGAGGCTAGATCCTCCCTGATCCCACCCACGCACCACACAGTCGACTTCCGCGCCGCATGCTTCTGCCACGGCCGCGTGGTAGACACCGGCTTCGTATGCAGTATCTGCCTCAGCATCTTCTGCGACGTGCCTGAAAACTCCGAGTGCCTGACGTGCGGCACCAAGCTCTCTCTCGGGAGCTACGGCGCTAAGCCCGCTGTTGTCCCGCGGAGGAAGAAAAAGAAGAAGAAGGTACTGGCAAACGGCAACATCAGGGAGGAGACGGGTACTCCTGGGGGAACACCACGGCCAGCGTAATGATATATCACGAATGCCCGCTTGGGCCATGTAAAATCAAGAAGTTGCTCAGGACAGGATCAAGCTGAGCAGGCACAGATCCTGAGCTCCAGGACAGGTAGATTTGGCGTTTGGAAAGACGGCGGTTCGGTATCAGCCTTATACATCAATCATCAGCCGGCCTTATTGGCTCACATCATACTCTGGTGCATTTGCAAGTGACTGAATGCAAACTCTCTAGGCGATTGTCTGAAATTCATGCCAGTAGCGCTCTAGGAGCTAAGCATAATGCGTGAAGGGGTATCACTACTAAATATCACTGCGAGAGCCGGCATATCTCATCCGGTCTGGGGATGCTCTCGCCAACCTGGCTCAGCGTCCTGGACGCAAAACAACCGCCACTCCTCGTTCCCCGATCATGTTGGCCAGTGTCACTGAATGCCAATCCAAAAATGGTGTGAAACAAAGTGCGCCCTCAAGATCCTGGGTCAACCCGAATCCGTCGAGCACCTCGCGTGACCTGAGCTGACTCCCCCAGGCGGGACATGACGCATACAGGTTCCTTGTCTGAGCCGCCCATTGAGGCGAGCGCGAAGGAGTCGGTGTTGTGCGCGAAGTACAAATAGTAGCCCGTCCGCGTTTTCTTCACCGTCATCACGCCGATCGCCCCAACCGAGTTGCAGTTTCTGACGCCGGGATGTCCCATGAAGTCGTTTGTGATGAAGGACTCCATGATCGCGTCTTCGTCCCATTCTTCCACGTCTCTTCCGTTTGGTCCCCTGCGGGTGTTGCCGTAGATGCGCTCTGCACATCGCTGAGACGCCATTGTCGTGGCCATGTGCTCACCAGTGCCACTCGTTACGGTTGCAACGCTGACTCCATCCGGGTCATTTGGGTCACAGGGCACGACGGCCGTTCCGATGCCCACCAAAGCAGCAGGGCCTATGCGCCCCCGGTGCTTCATTCCGATGCCACCAGATGATGAACCTGCCGCAATCCGACCCTTTTCGTCGATCGCGATTGCACCCACAGTGTCAGTGATGATATCCTCCTCCTCGAGTTCAGCAGCAGAGAACGGTCTCTTAATACCACGAGGACGACATGCCTGCAGCTGCGCAACAGTGCTGACATGTTTGGCTCCGTCAGACCATAGAGGGGAGTATGTGCCATCACGGTCTCCCTGGTTGAGGTAGTCCCCATCGCTCGACGGAAGGCCTCTCTCTTGCAATAACTGAGTGCGAGACTTATTGGAAGATGGCAAGGAAGCGCCGATGTAGCTCAGAGGTGCTCTTTCTATGCCTTGGCGTTGCGGCAAACTTCGGGGATTCGCCAGTACAGAATTGTCTAGAGGTTGGCTGAGGCCCTGCTCCAGCGCCGGGGAGCCTCGATGCGGGGAGTCAGGTTGGCCTTCGTTCCATGTACCGGTAAAGATAGCGCTAGCATGATCCCGTTGCAACACTTTGGTTGTTCGCGGAGAGCCAGGCACCGGGATGGTTTCATACTGATGGGCGACATCAGATGTGTCGTTGGCTGGTCCTCGAGGCATGCCTTGCTTCGATTTCTCCTCAGCTCGCTTGAGGTCCTCTTGCCATCGAAGAAATCGGTCTCTGGCGTTCTTGGAGACTAGGTAGTCGTTGTGGACTGGCTGCATGCCGTGCTCCTGAGCAAAATTCTTGGCACCCTCGCCGACGAGGATATTGGGCGGAACTCGTCTCAGGGAAAGTGGCTGGTTGCTTTTGTCCAAAATCAACTTGGCAAGGCAGATGGGATTTCGGACGTCTTGAGTGCATCATTAGTCCTGACCTTGCCGCACTCGTTCAATATATACTTACTTGGCACGGCGCCACAAGCACCGCTTCTTCCGAGGTAATCGACGACGGTGGCATCACATTCGACAGTACCGTCCATCGAGAGATTCGAGCCGTAGCCAGCATTCGTGATTTCTTTGTCTTCGAGAACGCGCAGGGCAATTTCAACAGCTTCCGTAGCCGAGGCACCGGACTTCAAGAACTTCATTCCCATTGCGGCAGCACTATCTGGTTAGTCAAGCAAAAAGGCCTAGGAGGAATGACTTACTTGCTGCAAGCCTCCAGGTGAACTCTCTCATTCTGATGGCTGTGGAAGCCCGCTCCGGCATGGATAAAGATGGCTCCAGGGAATCTTGGCTTATGTATCCGCTTCAATACTCGATCGACTGTGCCATCTGTGCCGCCAATTGTCTGCACTTCGGGATCTGCCTGAAGGAGATGGTGGTCGTTGCTCAAAAGATCCGTGGCCGTGCCTGTGGTGGTGTCTAGCGTGGCTCGCCTGGCAATAGCATCAAGGGCTTCCATTCCACGGCAGTTCAGCCCAGCTGCGGAAGCTTGGCCGGCATACAGGTATTCTGATGGGAATACTGGGTCTTAGTCGATATTATCTGGACCGTTGAAAACGACCGTAATAGCTAGATAGCCTGTTGTTTAATGGACCGAAGTAAATGAATGAGCAAGCATGCAAATCGAAAGCAGCCAGCGTTCTAACGACAAGAAGTCCAAGTAGAGGCTCAAAAAAGAAGGGTCTGCTGGATGTGAATGCTGATGGTAGGCAGCCCGGAACCGACCATCAGTCTCCCGAGAGAGAAGATGTGGTAGATGTGTGAAGATGGGGGAAGCGACAAAGACAGATCGGCGGTAAAATAACTCAATGCTAGAGCTTTCGGCTGCAGGTGCGTAGAAGGCTGGGGGCTTCCCGTAGACCAAACAGCTTGATGTTTGGAAGTGGCAGACTGGCTCAGAAGCTTTCGCCTGCTCAGCTTAGACAGGGAAAGTAGGTGATGATGCCGGGGCCCCCCAAGCTCCTGGCTAACATAGGTTATATGCAGGCAGGCCCGTTGGAAATGGAACTGCGAAGTTGCCTGATTTGAGCACTCAAGGACTGGTTGAAGATGCCTGAATAACGACACAACAGCCTCCGTGACTCAGATCGCATGTATGACATCTAACTCCCGCGATAGCTACCCGTGCATACCAACGCGTTTTGCACAACCGCAACTTGGAAATGGGGATGGCCTTTCCCAGCATGGAGGACTAGCGTTGCTTGGAGAAGGAGCAGGCGGGTGCTTACCTAAGTCATTACAGTAAGTTTATACAGTCAAAGCACCACTTAGCACAGTCCTGCCAGCTCGACCTGGGGTGCCTGGTGGGGATGGGTGGGGCACCGACCTCACCATGGCTGGAGAATCCACCACCTCTGATGCACAGCCGCATGTTGGGAGCTTGATCGGTGACAAGGCACACATTTCCGACCACATTGGACATACGTCGTAATCAGCATCACGAGTGCATCGACGACGTCCCGGTCCATCCTCCCACAACCTGGTGCTGCATCTGGGCTAGACTTTAGCCGAGCAAACCTCAATTACATCCAACATGGCGAACCAAACGCCTGCCGTTGTCATGGACAAGTAAGTCAACCAATGTCACCCTGCCCCGCCCCGCATCCCCCGAGGCAGACGTCAGTAAGGTCATCACCAGCTAACAGCTCATCAACAGCGGCACGGGATTCTCGAAGCTCGGTATGCCAATTGCGAATCGATCCCCTTTCGATTAATAGCTCTGACACTATGATCAGGTTTCGCCGGAAACGACTCCCCGTCCTTCGTGTTCCCGACCGCCATTGCGACGAAAGGTCCCGCTGCCGGCAGTGGAGGAACTGGTTCTGGCCGCCCAGCCGTTGCCAACAAGCCGTCCTTCTTGACCGGTGGTGCAGGCCCTGGTGGACACTTGAACTCGAAGCGAGGAACTGAGGATTTGGACTTCTTCATCGGTGATGAGGCAATTGCTGCGTCAGGAGGACCAGGTCAGTGCACACGGCGACGACGAAGGAATGTGCAGCAGCCTGCTCACCGATACTCTAGGCTACGGTCTTCACTACCCCATCCGACACGGTCAAATAGAGAACTGGGTATGGACTTTACGTAACCGCACGAGAACGGGATACTAACGGCACTCAGGATCACATGGAGCGCTTCTGGTCCAACTCTATCTTCAAGTACCTGCGCGTAGAACCCGAAGACCATTTCTTCCTTCTCACCGAACCTGTACGGCACGATTCAAACACATTCTCTCTTGCCCGAGTTGCACAGTCTGGCTGACCTTGACTTAGCCCCTGAACCCTCCCGAGAACCGCGAGAACACGGCCGAGATCTTCTTCGAGTCCTTCAACTGCGCCGGTCTCTATATAGCCGTCCAGGCCGTGCTTGCCCTTGCCGCCTCTTGGACGTCCTCCAAGGTTCACGATCGTTCTCTGACCGGAACGGTTATCGACTCTGGTGACGGTGTCACCCACGTCATCCCTGTTGCCGAGGGATACGTTATTGGATCCTCCATCAAGTCGATTCCCATCGCCGGTCGCGACCTGACCTACTTCGTCCAGTCGCTGCTTCGTGACAGAGGCGAGCCGGATTCGTCATTGAAGACGGCCCAGGAGATCAAGGAGGAGCACTGCTATGTGTGTCCCGATATTGTCAAGGAGTTCTCCCGCTACGACCGCGACCCCACACGCTTCATTAAGCACCCTGTAATCCAGCCTGGTGGCCGTCAGGTCTCCGTTGACGTCGGATACGAGCGTTTCCTTGCCCCCGAGATCTTTTTCAACCCGGAGATCTACAGCTCCGACTTCCTGACGCCTCTCCCCACTGTTGTCGACAACGTCATCCAGTCCTCCCCCATTGACGTTCGCCGTGGTCTGTACAAGAACATCGTCCTCTCTGGTGGTTCCACCCTGTACAAGGATTTTGGCCGCCGCCTGCAGAGAGATATCAAGCAACTGGTTGACGCGCGCATCCGAGCCAGCGAGGTCCGTAGTGGCGGTGCCAAGTCTGGCGGTTTGGAGGTGCAGGTCATTACCCACAAGAGGCAGAGACACGGTCCCTGGTTCGGTGGCAGCTTGCTGGGCCAGACTCCCGAGTTCCGCTCTTACTGCCACACCAAGGCTGAGGTGAGTAAACTCTGGTTGATCGTTACGAAAATGTCTTCTGACTTCGTTCACAGTACCAAGAATACGGTCCCAGCATTGTTAGACGATTTGCACTCCTGGGTGGCCCTGGTGGTTCATAAATGTTGGGCGAATAACATAGAGACTGCGATTCAGGTGTCCACAAAAAAGCTACTCCTAGCACTCCTCCTACTACTTAACGAGAATTCAAATCATGACCATCAGTCATGCAATCCTTTATGCGCGAGCGTGTATCAATGTGTCTGCTTTATATGTTTTTGGGTTTAGCTGTAGACATTGTAGCCGTCTCAACTGCGAGTTATCAGAGACCCGCGATCAGCCAATTTGAGTTCCTGTCTAGCTTCCCCGAGTTTTCTTAAGGATATATCCTTTGTGCCTGTGCCACAGCGACTACTTTGGGGTCTGCCTTATCTCGGCCCCAGTGGTCTCGAGTACGACCTCACGTACAATAACAACAGACACAGAAAAAAGACAACGGCCTCCTTAAAGTCACCCCGCAACTCTATTCTCTCCCCAGACTGCAGGCTAGAAGTTAATTGGGGTCTTTCGACTTCGAGTCAGACTCGAGGTGCACCAGGACCATTTGATCATGTCCAAAAGCTCATCACGCGGCTTCCAGTATGGCTTAATCCAAATTGATCATTACTCATTCCCAGTAAAGGTATGAATGAGAAGCATATCATACACGCTGAACTCCCTCCCAAGTAGGTATCCTTATGAAAACAAACCAACAAAGCTCATCACCCCAACCACCGAGGAAACATAACCGACCGCCGCCGCCCGCCCGCTGGAGACACCCCCTTTTTGTTGAGTTCAGTTGACTCCTCTCGAAACATTTTGTTCAATTATCTGCGTCCCGTGAAGCTAGCCGCTTATTTGCTGTTGTCGACGACGTAGCGGCCGGCGATGGCGCCCTTCTTCATCATTTCGTAGACGTCGTTCAGCTGGCTCAGGCCGACAACCTTGTAGGGGGCGTTGATGAGGCCGCGATGGAAGAAGTCGAGGGCCTCGGCGGTGTCCTTGCGGTTGCCGACGTAGGAGCCCTTGATGTTGATCATGCGGATGACGGTGTCGAAGACGGGGGCCTTGAGGTAGGCGTTGGCGGGCAGGCCGATGCAGACAACGGTGCCGCGGGAGCGGACATACTCTGAGGCCTGCTGGAAGGGCTTCTCGCTGACGGCGAGCAGGATGACGGCGTGGGGGCCGAGGCCCTCGGGAGTCGCCTTCTTGACATCCTCGACGAGGTTGCTCGAGGTGGTGAAGTCGACAAACGCGGTTGCGCCGAGCTTCTTGCACATCTCGGCCTTCTCGGCGCCGCCGTCAATGGCGACAGTGTGGATGCCCATGGCCTTGGCGTACTGCAGGGCGAGGGAGCCGAGACCACCGCCGGCACCGACGATGGCGACCCACTGGCCGGCGCGGACACCGGACTCCTTCAGTCCCTTGTAGACGGTGATACCGGCGCAGAGAACGGGGGCGACGGCCTCGAGGCTGACATCCTTGGGGATGCGGGCAACGTGGGCGGCCTTGGCGATGGCGTATTGCTGGAAGCTGCCATCGACCGTGTAGCCGGAGAGGAGGGCGTGCTGGCAGAGAGGCTCATCGGCGGCCTGGCAGAAGGTGCAGGACAAGCAAGAGCCGTTGAGCCACTTGATACCGGCGTGGTCACCAATCTCGACATCCTTGACGAGCTCGCCGCGGGCGACGACAACACCAGCACCCTCGTGGCCACCGACCAGGGGCATCTTGGTGTCGAGGGGCCAGTCGCCCATCATGGCGTGCAGATCGGTGTGGCAGACACCAGAGTACTTGACGTTGATGAGAACCTCATCGGGACCGGGCTTCTGGACGGGAATCTTCTTGTAGACGGCGGCTGCTATGTGTTAAAGACCAGTCAATGCTAGGTGATCAAGATGTTACATACGTCCTCCGGTCTTCTCAATGACTTGAGCCCATTGCTCGGTTGGGACTTCAGTGGCCATTATGATTGTGTTGGGGTGGTTTGAGTTGTGAAAGGTCTGGAGAAGAGACGAATCTGGGATCTACCTGTTCTAAGACGGAAGTAGATGTTGAGTATGTGAGATGGAAGACTGTTGAGCTTGGATCGCTTGATTTGATCAGACCGGATCAATGGACTGGCGAGGAGGACCTTTTATAGAGATGGGAGCAACATCTCGACCTCGACCAGGACTAGGCGTGTAAGTGAGGTGTAGGGATAGCATGGTATGAGGTATCCCGTAAGGTAGGGGGAGCTCGGTGCGGCGGGTGGTTCGCGTCGTCAGGATGGATGGATGGGTTGACTGAATTGGCAAAGAGTACACAGGTACGTCTGTCAAGCGCACGGCGTATCCGCAGAAAAAGGTGTCGTCTAAGGTAAGGTAGGCAGACGAGCAGCTGGAAGTGAGGTGAGGATGTGGATGTCGTATCAGGGCCGACTGGGCATCCACTGGACAAGGCTAGAGCAAAAAACGTATGATGTTGACGACAGGCCAGGAACCGCAGTCAACGGAGCTTTTACCCCTCACAGTGGCAGCAGAGTTCGAGACACACCCCAAGGGCCAAGCCAAGGCCGGGCGGACGTGGGCCGGATCACCGCACGTCAATCAGGTTGAGGCATTGTTGGAGAAGCGAGAGTCGCAATCGCAGTCGCTGAGGGTTGGGGAATTGTTGGAATTGGAGTAGGTAAGGAAGGCAGGCACTGCTACTGCTGGCTTTCCTGCAGCAGGCCTGCGCTTGCAGTTGATCTCGCTCCACCGGGACGGGGGGTTCAGCGTTCTAGGTTGCGCTCCCTTGCCTTGCCTTGGAAGGATGGAAGCTAGGTACAACGGGAAACACGTTGCCCCGCGCGCATTAAGGACAAGCGGCAGACTGAAGAAGGGCGGCATCTGTGTCTGATTGGTTTGGGGGACTGTCATCAACACAGTGCTTCCATGATGAAGGTACATCTGAGGCGACAGTACGTTTCCCGGAGGAGCAGAGACCAGACGGCGGACGACAGGCGATTCCAGACTTTGGTTCTTCACCCCCATGGACCCTGGACCGGGATCATGGTGTCTGTGGCAGACGACATGCGTCAGGATAGACGACGTGGGGAGAAGGAAGTTTGAGTCTGCAAGCTTCCATGATTGAGTTGGGTCGTTGGGACGGATGCAACGGGGGATGGTCGAAGGAACCGAAAACTCCACCTGACAGCTCGTGGTTGACGTCGAAGCACTGGAGACACTGCAGAGGCCGAATGGCGGGTGGAGAGTGGCCAGCTGCGGCCATGAGCGTGGGAGGTGGACCCATTGGCCGCAGACCATGCTGGTGGTCCTGTTCTCGGGGACAATGATGCCGTAGCGAGGTGGGCGGCCGTCGCCGACAGGTCGGGTTGGGTTTTGTTGGCAGGTGTTTGTTCTCTGGTCTGGGTAGCTGTCACACCGTCACTTACACCCTTCTTCTCCGAGGCGTGTCATGTACCAACTCTGGATCGTCGGCCTGATCTGATCTGATCTGATATCGCTGGAGTGACGACAGTCCACAGAGACGAGGCCGAAAGTGGCGGCGAGCAAGACAGCGAGCGGTGCCCATCTTTCTCGTCGTTTCGTCGGAGAGAGATTGTCGTCGTGAGACGTGGTCATGGATGCTGCTCAGAAATCCCATAAATAAAAAATTGCGCCGTAGGGCCGAAGAACACCCAGAAAAGCATGAGACCTGCTGGGTTGGGGATGGAGAATCACCAGATGGGACGAATGAGATGCGCCCAATGCCATTCGCTGTCGGCGCCACAGCAGAGCAGAAACAGCACCACGCAAAGCCCATTCCCGATTGTGGAAAGTGCCAGGCCCATGTTCCTGGGTCCTCTTTCCTTGTCTTATCGTCTGAGGTGCACCTGCCCGCTCCCCTAAACCAAATCACCTCACCTACCTACTCAATCATCATCACCACGGCTGCTCGTGGAAAAGACCCCTCTAACGTGGAAACCAAGCTTCCCTCTCCTTGAACTGTCCCGAGTAGACAACATCGGAAGCCGCCTTTCCTCGCTGCAATCCCTGCCCTGAGGTTCCATTCCTTCGCCGCCCTAGGCCATTACAGGCGTTGATCGAGCTCTAGTGGGGATCTTTTACAGGGTTCCCAGCGCCGATTGGTGTTGGCAGTCGCCGCAATCTCTCGGCATCTACACGCCTAACCGCTAACGACGACATAACGCCACTATTCCATAGCACCACCCGCGCCCACGCCGCACACCACCGAACCGTCGCTGACGCCGTCTACCGTTCCAGGGCCCGACTCATGCCTCCCGTCCCGTTGTTCCGCTCTGCCGTCACTTTTCAACTTGCCAAACGTCTGTCCACTCGACCACAGCAGCTCGAGGATTGACAGTGACTCGGTATCAGCGGATACCGGCCGCATCTCGATGAATCTGCCCCGTCTGGAGCATCTCATGGATACATACTAATAATACCTCGTATCTGTCTGGATACTCAGAATAAAGGCCCGCAAGCAACCCAGGCAGGCATTTCTCGGCCAAAAGTAACGCAACCCCCATACGACTGAGACGTGTGCTTTTCCCAACGACGTCGTCAATATGGACCCCTCCATCCTGTGGACCTTGACTAAGGCACAGCAACCGCAGAAGTCTTAGTCCGACGTCGCAGGGAGGTGGCTGCGAATAGCTTCAAAGGCCTTCATCTCCGTTCGTCCAGAGGGGCCTGCGGATCATGCACCTCGCAAACCGAGCCCAACACGACGCAAAACACGACTCAACCTGGCAATCTGCCAAATGATAGACACCAGAACCGCGAGCTAATTGTTGCTACCCCAGTATCTTGCAAAGCTTCCCCCACATACATTCTCCATCCCACGCACCACTCGCGGCACAGTGCGATGGCTAGGCCGTCATGCCGGCTGCCTGCCTATCCCGCCTCGCCCGCAGCTCTCCACGACGCTACGCTACGCACGAGAAGACCGCCAGCATTCCCCAATAATGAGGCCGGGCCTCCACATCTTCGCTCGAAGGGAGCTTCACAGCCGGCCTCCTGACGCAGAAAACCACCACCGTGTCTGACACAGTCACCCACAATCGTGGCGGCTACGGATGGGGCCCCGCGATTCTCAAACGCTCCCCCATCTATGCTTCCCCGCATCACACCCTATGAATAGCCAACTCTCACACGCAAGCAGTTGATCCCATCTTGCTCAGCGTGCGACCCCCAACCAACCACCCTCCCTGACGTCTCCAGCTTTGCGGGGAAAGCTCCTGCACCTTGGAACCCTCGGTCAATGTCCATTGCAGCACTCAACTTTGGCCGCACTCCCTCGAACCCCAACACTCGACGCTCTGTACTGTGTGGGTGGCGCACGCCTGCCAGGTTGATCCCCGGATCCGGTAGTGCGGCGGCTTCATGGACGAGCGGAGGATTGCTTGCTGCTCTTGCCGGCACGCTGGGGGTTTCGGCCACCTGTGTTGCCCGGATCGGCAACTATACTCCAGGAACATCCCGGAACAACGGAAGACTCTTCGCCTCCAAGAAGCAGGAGGTAGATGAGAATCTGGGGAGAATGGCATGGCCCGCTTGAACCAAAATTGCGGGTGCTTCAGAACATGCGGAGGTGGTAATATCCAACCGAAGCTGCTTTCACCAACCCGCCCAAAACCCGAGCCGCATCGCCTGCGTCTCCTGCCAGAGGCTCCAGAAATCTGACCCAACGACCTTCTGTCTGCGTCGTTATCCAACCAACGAAAAGTGCCAGAGAGTCGAAAAGACCATGCATTGCAACCTACGTCGGACTGAACCCCGCCTCGTCAGGTTTTCTCGGCTCTTGTCTTCGCCAACTTTACGGACGTTCTGAGCACAATCATTCCTCCGATTCAATCTCCGGGGTGCGCGATAATTCCTCTTCCTAGCAGGCTTACCACTATCCTGGGGGGACTGGTTGAACATCACGATTCAGATTACTTTTCTTCGGGGCCTCCTGCACTTACTAAGACTGGAAGGAGGCCAGCGCTGATCAGACCCAAATGTTGCCGTCCGCGCCTACTTGCAAACACGATGAGACGCTGTCATCCCCTTATCGGCATGGCGAATTCCTTCGTCTCAAGTACTCCAGGCACCATTTCCAATGGATGAACCCTTAAAGGGCTGTGCGTGACCTTGCACTTGGACTTGATGCCCATCATCCTATGATGTGTTTCGGCAAGACCACTCGGTCTTGCAGCCTGAGCTGAGCTAGCCTACGTTGACGGTTGTAACAAAGTTATTAGCGAAAGATTGTGACATGTGTAGGGGCTGATGTCAAGCTGAAGGATGGAAGCAATGCTCGAACAGGAACAAGCTGTGACACGCCCCAGCTTCACACAAGACCGCCTGAGCTGAAATATACTTCATTCGACAGTGGCGGCTGAGCCCAGCGGATTGGCTGAACCGAGGAGGCGAGGGATTGTCAAACGTGAAGTAAGGTTGAGTCGCCATCCACGCATAACCGCGCGGTCGACTGCGTAAGCGGAACAAAAGCTTTGCCATCTCCCTGATGTAACTTGGCACTCACGAAGACAATCGCCGACTGGCTCCTGAAGATGAACCTGGCTGCGATCTCCCGCGCTGTGGAGCCTGCTAGCGTCCTGAGGAAAAGCCAAGCCCATTCTGCAGGGTACTTATATGACAAATCCGGCTGAGCGACCAATAAGAATTGGATCGATAGCTCAGTGGTAGAGCGAGAGATTGCAGTTCTACGCAGTTATCTCTAGGCCCCGTGTTCGAACCACGGTCGGTCCTGTCCTTTTGCTATTTCCATTCTAGGATTGTTCAATAATCATCCAACGCCAATCTGAGCCCAGTTTTTTGCAAACTTCAACTGTTCTTTCTACCTGTTTGACGAAGAGCATACTGTTCAGGGAGCGGGTCGCACGCACAGGCGACAATGCAAACAATACAAGTGATCTGAGCTCGCATCGGATGCCTTTTAAACACGAATGGCACGCACCATCTCCGTCATGCGGGGA